GAGGGAGTTCAATTCTGGCCATGAGAGGAATGTAATGGGAGACGTAGGAAACTTGGGAACATAGTTCACTTCCTGCTGAAGACACGGCTCATGATTGTTGACCACATCCAGCTATCTGGCCCACGTAAGAAAGATTTGATTGAACTCGGTTACTATAGGTAAACATATTACTCAATGGCAGCTGGGAACTAGAATTATTGTTGTTGTTCTCTGTATAGCAGTATATCAGATTACATGCTTTCAACAATTGAGAATCACCTGACACCTGGCAGCCGGAATAGGCAGAATGAAAAGAGGACAGTTAAAGAGGACCAGTCATTATTAGCCTGCAGTGGGTATGTCTGGTATGTTAATACTTTAGTTGCATTACACAACAGTAAGCAAAATGCAGTCATAGGGTAAAGGTCACAGATGAAGTCCAATTTCTTCTTTCTAAATGTAATCTGCATTAAAACTTTCCTTTAGTTGCATATCCATAATAATGATTTCCCTGACCTGTTCCTCTAAACTGGCCTCCCTGAGAAAACTACTAAGCTACAGCTTCCCGGAATCACTAAAGGTAAGAGAAAATATTTTTGTGATTTGTGATATATAACTTGTATACAGCATGTGAACAGTTCTGTCTCAATCCTGCAGGTTTATGGAGCACTGCATCATGTGTGTAACAAAAATCAGTTCAGGCTCCAGGTTCTGGTAGACCGATGGCCAGACTTCACTTCTGTCATTTGTCGCCCCGCGCTGGAGGTAAGTTTCTCAGTGGACTAGGCCAGATAAAGGGAATGATTATTTTTTATAAAGAAACATTTAATATGTGTAGCGCCCCGCTTACCCCCAGAGGCCTGAGGTGGACCCCCAAAGGTAGGGAGGGCTGACATTTTGCTCTAGGGGGTGGATCCTTAGCCGGGCTGTTGGATGTGAACAGTAAATTGGGTGCCAGTCACTTTAAGGACTTTTTAGTTGCTTTATTAAAGAACAGCCAAACTGGGAAGGAGGGTATAGGGATTCAGACATACATGACAACAATAGACTCCAGACTCACCAATCCTTTCCAGCTTCCACAGTGTAGGAATACTTTAGAAGAACAGATGATGTGTAGTAGAGGAATAGCTGATAAGCATGAGATCTTCCCTGGAAGGGACACCAGACTTCTTCCTGAGGTCCATGCCATCCTGGCTTTCCTGGCACCTCCGGCTGTCATAGGGTTCCTCTGGTTCTCCTCCCCAGATAGATGGGTCCACATGTGGCCTCCTCCAGGCTTGAGGCTTAGTCAGCTTCTTCAACCTTGTACATCCACCCCCAGGCCAAGCCTGAGAATTTATGCACTTCCCCAGCATGCACCACTGGCCATGAAACTCCTAGTGATTGGCGGGCGAGCAATAGACACTTCTAATGTTCCCCTATCGGCTGCCCCTCTCTGTAGCAGGGTCACACCCCATTCACAGGTAGGTAAAATCAATAGCAGAATACCCTGAAATGACCAAGTGATACCAGACTACAAATCAGCCATACTGATTACAGTGCTAGCAACACTAAATATAAGTAGCCACTCCATGTAGGGTGCAAGGGGCTACTTATGTTTGGTTATTAAATAAATGTAATATGTATAAAAAAAATGCCCAGAGCTCTGTGGGTTAGCCAAAGGGAGAAGGCAAAGCTGTAATCAACTCCTTTCAGGCATGTTGTCTCCGATAGAAAGGCCAGATGGAGCCATATTAGGAAGGAGGAGGGAGGGGAAGGAGTCACTGTTCTGACTCATTTAGAACTTCTGAGCTCTGCAAACAATGTCTTTTTTTCAGTAGTAAGTAGTAACTGGAAAACATGAAAAGGAGCCTAAAGTTTCACCTGCTGGCTGGGTATCAACTCTGCTCTCCCCTGATGTCAGCATGTTCCATTACTGGCTCCTAGCAGTGGCGTAACAACCGGGGGAGCGGCCGGTGTGCTGGCCCCGGGCGAAAAGATGAAGGGGGGTGCCGGCCGAAAATGGCACTTTTGGCTAAATGCCAAAAGTGCAATTTTCCTGCCGTTTTGTCCACGCAGCCATGATTTATTTCCTCCCCGCTGGGCGCTGCTCTTTGTCCCAGCAGGGAGGAGAGAAAGTGACAGCCAGCCGAGTGCTGCGGGAGGAGACCGCTGTGATTGGCCGGTGTCTCTCCTCCCACATCGTTCAGCCGCCTATCACAGTCCGGCAGAGCGGTGTGCCGGCGGAGACAGCACTGTCACAGGAAGCTAGGCTTTCCTTCCTACACCGATCGCTTAGCCTCCTGTGACAGCGTGTGTCTGTGTTTAAATATTAAAACAAATTAAAAAGTTTATTAAAAAATTAATACAAATAAAATATTTTTAAAAATATTTTAAAAATGTGAAAAAATTTAAATAAAAACATGTGGTGGGTGGGGCAAAAAAATGTCTGCCCCGGGCGCCCATAACTCTGGTTACGCCACTGGCTCCTAGTGTTGGATTTTCCTCTCCCTTTTGGGCTGCTGATGTGCAGAGGGGTTAGGAGGCTGACATACTATCATATTCAGCTAGTTACACTAGTTGCATTTAAAAATACAGCTAATAGTTTCCTTAATAAATACCACAATTCATTAGCTGTTTTTTTTTTTTTAAACTGTGTGAAGTACAGTAGCCCGGAAGAAAGAAACCAACAACAAGTTTTAAATCTACGCGGCAAAGAATATCCAGTCCGCTGAGACCCCACATCTAGCGGGCACCCTCACTAATGCATTTCACCCATGAAGTGCTTAATCATAGAGATGTGGTGTTTAATAAAGGAGCAAAATTCCTCTGTGGATTAACAACTTGTTCTTGTTGGTTCTCTACCTGGGCTACTGTGCTGGAGCGTGGGCTGTCCCAGCTTGCACCCCTATATCCCCAGGCACTGGAGGCTTGGTGTTGAATGGAGCAGGGAAAGTTCTCTGTATTTGGATGCTTTGAACTAGACATGTGCACTGCCAAAAAATTTGTTTCGTTTCGTTTCGTTTTAAATTCGGATTTGTGTTATTTCGTTTTTCGGGATTCGGGTGTGAAAGTCAATTCGGATTCGGAATTCGGATTCGGACGAAATTCGGTAGCGTTCGCACGAACGTTCGTTTCGTTTTCTGTTCTTATTCGTTTCTTACTCATTTGCAGCAAAAGTGACATTTGAGGGGGAAAAAATATTTTTCTCCTTCTCTAATGTCACTTTGCTCTAACGAACGAAACGAATAAGAAACGAATAAGAAACGAATAAGAAACGAACAGAAAACGAAACGAACGTTCGTGCGAACGCTACCGAATTTCGGAAATGGAAATTCGGATTCGTTTGCATTCGTTATGTCTGTAATTCGGAATTCGGATACATCCGAATTTACGAAAATTCGTCCGAATTTCGATTCGGAACGAAACGAATCGCACATGTCTACTTTGAACTGTCCATAGTCTTAAAACAAAGATGGGATGCAAATTCCTAATCCAGTCACCCAATCCCTGAGCTAGTTTTTATCTCCGGCTAGTACATCTTATCCGAAACTGTTTTTTCATGGCAAAAGAGGGTGAGCTGCCGCAAAAGGGGTGAGGATAAAGATGTCTTCAGGTCCTTTCATGTGGATTTCCTTCTTCTCTTCTAGGAGATGAAAGACCCATTAGATCATTACACCAACACGTACTTTGTGTTTAGTAAAGACCCAGAGAGCCTTAGGCACATGCTGGAAGAGCCGCAGACTGTGAACTGGAGTCAGAAGTTTCAGATACAAGGTGAGAGCTATACAGACTGGCAGCAAACTGGGCTGGGATAAATATAAAATTCAATTTAAAAAAAATTAAATATAATTTTAAAAAATCTCTTTGTAATGAGATAAATATGAACAAAACATCAGGTTTTCCCAGGCTCATAAACTGGCTTATGCTTTGAAATTGACCTGAAAAAAAAGGGGGATATCAGATTATACAGGCAGCTGAGTAGCTCATATAGGAGAGACATACCCTTCCTCCTTCTACTAGCAGCCTGAACAGATTAAAAAAAAACATATTTAGTGCTCTAGAACATGCACATTTCCCCATGTTTTGTCTCTTTAAAAGTGCTGCAAGGGCTCCCAAAGTTGGCCATACACTGGTAGATTTTCATTTGAATGTTCTTACAAAAAATCTGATCAGAACATTCGATAATACCATTGAGTTTTTTGCCGAAAACCACATTTACTATTAAAATTTTGTTGATTCAAGAAAAGGTTTTCTTCCCACTCCTTTTGTTTTTTTCATCACTTCAGCGATCATCAATTTGACCCCATTAACTATTAGACAATTGAACAAACATTCCAGAAACGCATTTTAAAATAAATAATACTGGTGATTGTTCAGCTTACCTTTCTGTAGTAAGCGGACAATGCTGCCACTGCTAGACTGAAATCTCAAGCAGTGTTGTCCGCTCTTCCCTGTTGGACGAGAGAACTCTCCTCATCCTCAAAAATCAGGTAGAAATTGTCCTGTAGTCTAGCAAGGGAGAACTGGGTAGGGCTTACAATACTGCTTAGGATCTCAGTGCAGAGGAGGCAGAGTTGTCAGCTCACTACAGAAAGTTAGGCGCTCACTGGGTTTCTGGCGGGATCAACACAATGCCATCCTGGGAACTACAGACCAGTCAGTCTAACATCAATAGTATGCAAACTAGACATGTGCACTAGCAAAAAAAGCAAAAAATGTGTTTAGTTTAGTTTTGATTCGGATTTTCGTTACTTCGTTTTTCGGATTCGGGTCCGCAATTCAATTCGTTTCGGGATTCGGACGAAATTCGTTAGCGGTAGTCCGGTCGAAATTTTGTTTATTGGACGAATTTCGTTAGCAGCAAAGTGACATTAGAAAAAAAAATTTTTTTTTTTGTTTTTTTTTTACAGTCTGCAGAAGATGAAAAAAAAAAGCGTGAGGTTCCCCCCCAATTCATACCAGACACTTAAGGTCTGGCAAGAATGTTAGGAGGGACCCTCCCCCAAGTTAAAACAAACAAAAAAGTGCGTGGGGTTCCCCCCATCCCCCCTTTAGGTCTGGTAGGAAATTTAAGGGGGAACGCCAGCTCCAAAAAATGGTGAAAAAACTGTGGTGTCCCCCCTAACAGTCCTACAAGACCCTTGATCGCGCACTGGCCCGGCAGGGCAGGAAAGGGGGGATGACGATCGAGCGCCCCCCTCCCTCTCTGCGCCTTACCAGGCCACGTGCCCTCGGCATTGGGAGGGTGTCCCCGTGCCGATGGGGACAAGGGCGTCTTCCTCACAACCCTGACCCGGTGGTTGTTGGGATATGTGGGAAAGGGGGCTTATTTGCATCGGGGTACCCCTTTAAATAAGGGGGCACCCAGATGCCGCCCTCCCCCCTTGTGAATGAGTAAGGGGTACTTGTACCCCTACCCATTCACTAAAGGGTTAAATCAAATAGTTAGTAAAAAGTCCAGACTTTTAAATAAAATCCTTTAACCTCCCTGGCGGTATTCCCGAGTCTGGCTCGGGGTTAATTTTCAGTACCAAGAGCGGTAACCCCGAGCCAGACTCGGGAATGCACAGAAAAGTGTCACTTACCTTGTCCCTGCGAGCCCGCGGCGTCCTCTGCTGTACGCGGCCGGCCGATGCTGGCATCTGACTTTTAGTTTCGTTTTCGGGCGTCACAGCCGGCGGGAAATTCAAAAGTGAAAAGTTGCAATGTACACAGAATACACACAATACAATGTAATCTGCTATGATTACACTTATATATCAAACTATTTCACTTCAATTTTGTCCCTAGAGCTTTGTCCAGTGCCCTGCCTGACACTTTTTCACAATTATAAGAAATGATAATGTAATAAATAATTATCAAAAATTATAATATAATTTAAAAAATGGTCCAGTAAATGGGAATTCTGGGGGCGTTGCCTGATCCGTATCACAGTCAATAGAGTACCAAGTTCGCACATCACTGAGCTCGGTCGCAGAATCGTCGCTGTCCTCACTTTCAGTGTCTGTTAAGGAATTTCCCAACGAATCGCTATCACTCAATTCTGCAAGTGATTCTAAATACTATCGCTGTTTTCTACCTGGTCTAAAAGCGCTTTTGACCTAAAACAGCGACAATTCTGCGACCGAGCTCAGTGATGTGCGAACTTGGTACTCTATTGACTGTGGTACGGATCAGGCTGCGCCCCCAGAATTCCCATTTACTGGACCATTTTTTTAAATTATTATATTATAATTTTTTATAATTATTTATAATTATTTATTATATTATAATTTCTTATAATTATTTATAATTTATTATATTATAATTTTTTTATTTCGTGTTTCAAACTTTATCATACCCGGGATGTCTACTGGACTCTTGTTTGGACAGATTTAGGTGAGTTATTCCTAAGATTTACTAAGAATTACAGGCCTACAATATAAAACAACAAATTTCCATGAAAAACAATGTACCGCTTTGGAATGCAAAAATCCTGAATAATCGTACCGCCAGGAAGGTTAAATAAACCAAAGACTAAATTTTTGACTATTCCTTGAATTAAAAAAAAAATAGCTCCATCGATGTAATCCAGCGTCAATCACGATGCACGACCCCCGCCGAAATAAAAAAAGACCACCCGAACCCGACGAAAACTCGCCGCAAAATGACATTCAGCCCGAATGTCAACAGATGGGCGGAGTGAGCAGTGACGTCACAGCTTGCTCCGCCCATTTGACATTTTCAGCCGTCAAATACTACATAGCATTCGGAAACTCTCGAGTGCTATTCGAGGTGTCATAATGCTTTTCATATTTCGCCGGGTCGGCGGGGTCGTGCATCGTTATTGACGCTGGATTACATCGATGGAGCCATTTACTCATTCACAAGGGGGGAGGGCGGCATCTGGGTGCCCCCTTATTTAAAGGGGTACCCCGATGCAAATAAGCCCCCTTGCCCGCACACCCCCACAACCACCAGGTCAGGGTTGTGAGGAAGAGGCCCTTGTCGCCATCGGCACGTGGACACCCTACCAATGCCGAGGACACGTGGCCTGGTAAGGCGCAGGGAGGGGGGGCACTCGATCGCCCCCCCCCCCCATTTCCTGCCCTGCCGGGCCAGTGCTCGGATCAAGGGTCTGGCAGGACTGTTAGACCTAAAGGGTCTGGTATGGATTTTGGGGGGAACACCACGCACTTTTTTTTTGTTTTAACTTGGGGGAGGGTCCCTCCTAACATTTCTACCAGACCTAAAGGGTCTGGTATTAATTGGGCGGGAACCGCACGCTTTTTTTTTTTCATCTTCTGCAGACTGTAAAAAAAATAAAAATTTCACTTTGCTGCTAACGAAATTCGTCCAATAAACGAAATTTCGACCGGACTACCCCTAACAAATTTCGGGAATTCGGATTTGTTTGCATTCGCTATAGCTGTAATTCGGAATTCAGATACATCCAAATCTCTGAATTTCCGAAAATTCGTCCGAATTTCGATTCAGAACGAAACGAATTGCACATGTCTCATGCAAACTGTTTGAGGGTCTGATAAAGGACTATTTAGTGATTTTGTTCATGACAAAGATATAATAAGTGATAATCAGCACAGATTTATGAAGGACCATTCTTGTCAGACCAACCTACTAACATTTTACGAAGAGGTGAGTAGAGATCTGGATAGGGGAAAGCCATTGGATGTGGTGTACCTGGATTTTGCAAAAGCACTTGACACAGTACCCCATAAACGTCTAATACACTACACAAGCTTAGATCTATGGGCATAGATTAAATGGTGTGTACATGGATAGAGAACTGGCTGCAGGAACGTGTCCAGAGAGTATTGATAAAAGGTTATTTTTCAAATTGGTCTAAGGTCGAGAGTGGCGTGCCCCAGAGTTCTGTGTTAGGCCCAATACTGTTTAACGTGTTTATAAATTATATTGGGGAAGGTGTTAATAGCCATGTTTCTGTGTTTGCAGATTATACTAAAATTGGGAAGGTGATATACTCAGGCTTAGACATTATAGCATTACAGGAGGACCTGAATAAAATAGGGGAATGGACAACTACATGGCAGATGAGGTTTCATTTTGAAAAATTTAAAATAATACATGTTGGGGATAAAAATAGGCAACAGGAATACACATTAATTGGTACACCAATAGGGAAGTCAGAAATGGAAAAAGATTTTGGTTAGTGGTGATGGTAACATCAGCAATAAACTTTTTACAGTAAACTCCCTAAAAAATAATAGAGGCCAACATCTAAAATTGGTGGAGAAAATATTTAACCACAAAGGGGCTTCTTTTAAGTTAGAGTAGTTAAATTTTGGAACTTTCTGCCACAAGCAATGGTATCAGGTGAGAGTATTGAATCATTAAAAAATCGATTAGATACTGTCCTTGGAGACCGTAACATACAGGGGTACAGCTACTCTTAAAAAGTAAGATCACACAGGGACTCATATATACACATGCATGCACAACGCACAGAGGCACACAAAGGTTGAACTTGATGGACCCTTGTCTTTATTCAACCTCAAATACTATGTAACTACTATGTAACTATGTGAGTCTATGGAGTCTATGGAGGCTGCAATTGCTGGCATTCTTGTACATATGATAGTTGACTGGCTGTCTTTAACATCGATACATTCTGAGCCACTGAACCGAAACAAGGTTTCATGTCAGAAGTCTTTATATGGGATACTTGATCAACATAAGTAACAAAATATTGTAGGCAATGGATCAAGATGGCAACTGGCATTTTCAGAAGGAGTCAGCAATAGCAGCCCCCATATTTCTTGCAATACAGCTTTACTTAAGTTACTAGTTAATCACAGGTTGTCTCTTAACATGTAGGCAGTGCTGGGCTTCCTTACTAGAAAACACCCATGATTTATAAAGTTTCATTAATCAAAACTTTGTTATAAAGAGACTACAATGGTTTGGGGTTCATTTATTTTACTTTTTCAGTTTATCAGCTTTTAATTATATATTTTTTATCTATTTATGTTTATACAAATACAAGTTGTACCCATGATGTGTCAGAGCACTATGGGTTTGCAAAAAGAGTAGAAGCAGGTTGCTTTTAAACTGCTTCTCTCTAACTGAATATTTATAGACCTCCACTAAACAAAGCAGGCAGGCAGAGAATAAGTCCCTCCTCAGACTCATTAAGTTATGGTCAAATTTAAGCATGAGCTATTGAGCTTTACTAACATCAGACTTTTCCAATAGAGACATTTAATAATAGGCAAGTTAAAATGTAAAAGGGAGCCTAGAGCGCCACCTGCTGGTCATTTTTTTGACTAAAGGCAGTATATAAAAACATCACAATTACTTTTTTTCATATCCCTGTCACAGGTTGCCAGACGGCACTGGGAGAAGTATTTCATTCAGTTCTCTCCAAGCACGGAGGGCATATGATGACTGTGAGTAACGTGTTATACATTAGAGACAGGAAGATAAATGCAGATGAAGTGGAAGCACTCAGCAATACAAGGTAACTTGATGGGCACAAAAGCTGAATTCTGATTGATTCTTTTTGGTTACCTCAAGAACTGTGGCACCACATGATAAGTACACCTGATGCATCACCTACATCTGGGGGAAAATTCAATGAAAAATAATATACACACAAGTCATATATAGGTAGTCTCTCCTACTTGAAGCTCATGTGAACTGCAGTTGGAGAGAGAGGTCACGAGTCAGGATGCAGACAGCCTCAAAGCTGAATTACAGGGAAAAGAAAGAAATACCCAGACCACGCATTGCAAAGGTTAAATGCTCATGTTTTGCCTAGGGTACTAGGATAAAATACTTTTTTCTTACTGTATCCCTCGCTCCCCTAGAGGTGTCGGCATGCACCTCTTCTCTCCAACGCTTCGAGTTAGGAGTGGGCCCTAAGCATCCTCAATTACAATACAGTACCTACTGGGGTGCCACATGGGAGAAGGAGCCTGTGGGAGCAAAGAATTAGTAAGTAATAGTTATATTTCCTGGTACCCTAGGAAACAAATGTGCATTTATCCCGTGGAGTATGGGAGGAGCTCCACTACAAGGATATTTTTCTCCGGAGTTAAGCTTACAAATATGTGTCCATGCTACTGAGGCTCAAGGGAGATATATAGCACTTTTTTCTGAAGAGTGTTTTCACATATTTGAGTGTCACCATGTTTTAATTAACTCCACAAGAAGCAAGGACAGGGCACTGCGATTGCTTAAATGTAGTTTCAACTGGAGTTTCCTAATTAGTCTCCACTCTTTGCTTTGTCCATTTGCAGAACAAGTGACCTGCAGTTCTCTCCACTGAACCCAGATGAAGCACCCCTTGTAAGTGCACAGTGGCTATTTGGTGGTAATGAACTAAGCGAGAATTATATCAGGCGATGTATCCAGATGTTTCCCAACTTGTGCGCCAGAAAACCTGGAGTATCGCGGCCTATAGCCTGGGTACTGAGTGAGCAGTCAGCAGAAATACGCATGGGGTACACTGAGAGTCCTTACCGTAGTCAGAGACTATTTGCGAACATAGCAACAAGACTGTTAACTATACAGCAGTCGAGAGGGACCCCAATCTACTGCCATGTGGCATCCGACAACAAGAAGAGTCAATCAGCAACTATGGCAGTTGGATTTATCCCAGTGGGAAGATGGCAACAGTGGAGCTTTCAGCCCAGCTAATAAAATACTCCATCCATTCCATGTATATTCACTGAAAAATTGCTAGACTATAAAATGTGAACATTTTCTTAAGCAGCCATATTTGTTAACACTGTACTCCTGGTCAAATGCCTGCTACTCTGCTTTCTATCAGTCATTTGAAGAGACCCTGTCACTTTGAAACCCTCTCCCTGACCTACTTATACTGACCTTTACAGCACTCTACTGCTACTCCTTCTTCCGTCACAACCACCACAAAATATCTGCGGTCGGTTGGTTTCAGAGAATACACTGGGCAAATATGTCTTCTCTATCATGTGATAGTGTTGAGGCCTAGCAATTGGCAGCTGGGTCCTAGCACTGATGGGAGGAAATTGGATGTTCCCCTGTGCTTAGATGTACGGTACCAGATATTTTCGCCATACGATCGAAGAAGTGTCCTGCTGTTTCTTTCTCTTTAGCAGCCAGCATTAAAATCCCTGCTGCCAGCTAGGGTCGGACACTAGCGGGAGTGGTGACCTCTGTCATGTACATAGTAATTGGCTGGTAGACCCGAGCACTGTGAAATGGTGGAGGTCTCCTGTTCCAGAAAGTGTGGGTGTTGTCGGTAGCTGTGACGGAAGAAGGCCCAGTGGCACATCACTGGCAAGGTGAGAATCAGGGTGTTGGGGACACCTATTCACTGTCACTTTTGCCCTGACTGGGTAAGGTAAACGTGTCTCTTTAAGGTTATCGTTAGAGTTAAGGTTAGCATTAGTTAGGTTTCCTCTGTTCTTCAATACTTAAAATCATGTTCTCAGCTACCGAGGGGCCATTTTGTTCAGGATAGTTGAAAAGAGCTTCCATGATCATCGGGAACCATGTAAAGCCCATTGGATTAATGTTGTCTTCCCAATTAACATTAATGCTCTTCAAAATATCTTAAATTTCACCAAAATCTCTGTACAAAACATCCCGCTTTATCTCATCAGAACCTACATAGCCACTCCAGATAATAATAATAAGTCCTATATGACATATCTTTTGCATATTTTACCTTCTCATTCTTAGGCACTGCACATATGAAAATAGTGGAAGTAGGATCAGGACAGATAACTTTATTAGGTCTTGTTCACACTGCAGCTCGTTATCTGCAGCACCTATAGCATGTCTGCCAGTGGCGGAACTACTGCCGGTGCAGGCGGTGCGGGCGCCCTTAAACACTTCCGGGAGGGCGCGGTTTTGCCAAAGTGGGGTATGTACCGTGAAGTGCGAGAATCCAAATAGAGTCTTTGCATCTTGCAAACTGCTCGAGTCTCGAGGCGACATCCCTGGAACGGTCCCTCTGTTGTTTCCGAGGAGTCTGGGCTGGCGCACGCGAGCCGCGGCCATCTTGCAGGTCCATACCTCCAGTGAGGGCCGCATCGTTGGTTCTCGTCATCCCGAAAAATCGGAGAATGACCGAGCGGTACCCGTGAGTCCCGAGGGGTCCGGTGTGTACAAGGAAGGTACGTAGGTGTCTATCAGGCTGTATTAGTGAAGATGTAGAGGATATTATCAGGATCTCGTGCCGGAGCTCTCTCAGCCGCGTCCACTCACATGAGTCGCCAAGCCACGCCCCACAATTTACCTCTAATAGAACTGCAACTTGCTAGGGTACACACAAGAGGAGACAACAGAGCTGAGGTGTAAAAATAATGATTAAAGGATTTACAGAAACAAATTTGGTAGCCTGAACAGACATTGCAAAAGGCGCTAGCAGCACACAACAATGAAATAAGTACAGACCAAGTGACCTAGTGCTGTCTTATAGGTTAACATACATTTTAAATATTACCTTTTACGTGACCCCCTTATCAAACACCTAAATATAACATCAGACCTAAGTTGCACACTTTTCCCTCTTTAGGTTGAGAAGATATGCCCATTGCTGGACAACCTTTGGGGCCTCCAAAGAGACAGCAGCCTGTGAACCAGAACACATGCATGGGTTCCAGCCACAGAGATAAGTAGACAGCTTATATACCCACACAGAGCAAGTTGGCTGCACCCTTTTAGCTGGCACCAATGCATGAAGATAGACCCTGCCCTTTAGAAATCAGTTCAGAAAAAGACTTAAAAATGCAAAAATACATTTCTTTACAACAAATGTTAGTAGAAATCCCTGCAATGTATATGCTTTAGTTTATCACAAAGGATTATTTTCAACAAAAGCGGAGTTTCACTTTAAAGCACAACTATGCTTTTAGACCTAATTCTTCTATCCCACCTCCACCCATCCTGACGTAACCTATAATAGCACAGCTCACCACAGCAGCTCCTTACTTACCTCCGTACCAGCCAGTGGTTGACAGAGTCTCCATGAAGCCCTTGTGCAAGACCAATTTGTGCCAGTCACAATTTGCAATGCAGCATGCATGCTGGGATGAGGGCAGGGACATATGATGGAACCTTCTTCCTGTGTAATCATCTGCACAAACCTAGCTCACAAGCAGGAACAATGGTAACCTTGGTGATCTCTTGGACAAGACACGTTTTTCTGGACCCTACAATCAAGAATGTGATTCCCTGAGACCTGCTTGATGGGAGTGTTCTGAGGACAGAGAAAAGGCCCTGGCATGTGTGAATGAGAGAGAGAATGATGATGCTTGCTAAAGGATCTTGACTTCAATTCCTATCCCTACTTCTCCTTCCAAATTCCCTCTCTATTTCCCTTAGTTGTAATTAGAAGTTGTGTCTATTTGTAAATAAACCCAACCCTTATTAAAGATTCAGTTGTCAGCCGTTAAATCAAGGCACCCCAAAGCAGAGCACATTCTACACCCCCCCATTCAACAGCTGGCCAAGAAAGAAGACTTATTCACTAGGTTTTGATAGATGGATAGATATGAGCACTGTTCAAGTCTAGGTGACAGCAGGAGAAGTCCCTATACCCATCTACCCATAGGCCCTATACCCATCTACCCAAAAATGGACCTCTAAAGGGTTCCTGGGCAGCTACACAGACTGCACAAATTGTATGTCCATCTCCTGGCAGTATTACTTGTCTTTCAGCACAACATTATGTTCTATTTTAGCCTCACAGACTTGCATGGGGCCATTCTGGACACTGGAGCTCCATTCAAGTCTATGAGGTCTCAGTATGTAGAATATGGTACAGAGATAAGAACTTGGGATGGTAGTGAAGGGGAAATTGGAACAGAAGTGGATAGGTAGGGAAGCCCTCCGCACACCTCACAGCAGTCCAGGCCTATATAGAAAATGGTGCTCGCAGTGATAACCACGGATGGTGCCGTGCAGACACAGAGTAGAACCAAAAATCACCAGCACTCAGCGATATCATTAAACATGTCAATTTATTTGGACAAAACGTCACAGTAACAAAAGGCAACATTTCGAGACCGCACAGGGTCCCTTCCACAGGGCAAAAAGACATGACAAAACGTCTTTTTGCCCTGAGGAAGGGACCCTGTGTGGTCACGAAACGTTGGCTTTTGTTACTGTGACGTTTTGTCTAATTAAATGGACATGTTTAATTATATCGCTGAGTGCTGGTGATTTTTGGTTCTACTCATGGAAATTGGAACAGACATTTTATTTATAACATATGTTGTTTCAATCTCAATCAAGTATTGCCTAACATCCTGCATTTACCTTATGTGATGACCAACCGAGAATGCCTCTAACTTTATTTACAAGGAAATTGGTTCCTGTGTACAACAGCTGTCCTTTTAGAAGAATTGTAAACAACATGTGTTTGTCACCTCTGCAGATGCCATCAGAAAGAGGATTTACATTTCAAAGGACATAGATAGCCAGGTTCCCACCCAACTGAGACCCTATATATATATATATATTGTACTAGGATCATAGCCAGTCAGAGCAATGTTGATTCCAATACCCTTCTCTCCATGCATGTAAAAATAAATACATTTACTTTTTAATATGGCCTCAACAGTCAACGTTATTGAAACCCCCGAGTTTGGGTTTCCTGCGACACTAGGTATTAGTGTAGGTTAGTACAGGAAGAAAATGAGGATGGGTGAGGGGTTTAGTTTAAAAGGACAGTTTTCATTTAAGGCACCAAGGCTAAGCACCGTACTAACATTTTACAAAGGTTGCCATGGAACCTAATGTCAGCTGACGCAGTCATTTTGACATGTAAGACACACACAGTTTAATAAAAACATAATTGTAAACTATCTACAATGATGCAAGTCAGTAAATCTAAGCCAGGAAAAACATTTTATTGAATAACAAATGCAAAAGTTGAAGTAATCAGAAGAATAAGAGTATGTTTTATTAGGGATCCGTAGACAGCATTTCAAATCTGCAATACATTTTACTGTTGGCAGGAATCTTTCATCCCACTGTGCCACCAAGGGCAACAGTTCAAATAGCACTATGCTAAGTCCCACCCCTGATTTTAGGCTCCATCCTTTACTATTATAGTCATACCATAGATGAAGAGTCAGAACAATGACACAGATCTTGCGTTACTACAATGATTTTCTACTGTCCAAGGGAGTAGCGGAGGCTTGGAAGCAAGGGGAAAACCAAATGTCATGATTCCCAAGGAGAGTGGCATCTGAGATAAAGTTATCAACTTGCCTTTTTGTAGGAAAAATTGTGATTGGTTGCAGATTATCTTCATTGCTACAATCTGTCCCATGGCTGAGTTGGCTTGTATATGCACACAAATGGAAGCTTCTCACTACAACTTAGCTGATTCCAAAAATCTCCGCCTAGAAAAATAAATGAATTTAGTGTGATGTGTCAGCTTTTAGGTAAAAACAATCTGGGCTTTAAAGAAAAGGATTCATGTTTTTAAACCCAATTGCATGCCTACCTCCCCCATTTTACTTAGGTTTTATATATTATATATAAACCCCTATTTTATTCACAATAAAAAATAAAACAAATATTAAACTGAGAAAATGTACCATTTACAAAAAAAAAATATAAGGTCATTTTGAAATTAATAGCAGCAACACGTCTTCAAAACGTTGGGACAGGGCCATGTTTCCCACAGTGTCGCATCACTTCTTCTTTAACAACAATCTGTAAACATCTGGGAGCTGAGGAGACCATTTGCTGGAGTTTTGGGAGAGGAATGTTGTCCCCATTTTTGCCTGATATTGGATTCTAACTGCTCAACAGTCCTGGGTCTTCTT